TGGCAAAGGAATACTCTCAACTTCCACAAGTTGAGCATTCTTAACAGCATCAAAATATTGGCTAACTTGAGCCCTCTTCTGTTCATATTCTACTTCTAGCTTCCTCAATTCTTTGTAAATATCTGGATTGTCTTTTTTATAGAGCCCTATAACACGTTAAAAGGTTTCACGTAGCTTTGTATGCTTGTCTTTGAACACCTTCTCATGTAACTATGGCTGTTGCGCTGGATTAAACTCCATTTTGTCTCATTTCTCCATGTCCCGGATAATGTTTGGGATCCTTCATCTTCAAAACTGCAATTGTACCATCATGTGCTGTTTTTGTTCTTTTTCAATTCTCTCTTCTGGGCTTCCTTTCCAGCTTGGTCTGTGAGATTCATAAATTTTCTACTCTTGGTGGATGATGTACATCTCCACTGCATGATGACAATCTGTATGGTTTACTTAAGAAACAAAACACTTCTGCTGGGCTCCCAGTACTGACAGAAATGGGGCAGGGATGATTCCCAGTTTCTTTTGCTACGAAGGGGCCTTCACCATTGCCTGCTGGTCAGCCGCGCCGCCACCGCCATCTTGAAACCTTGCACCACTCCGCCATAGTTTCTGAAATTTTTTTTGTAGTTTCCCAATTGCGAAGTACGTAAGTAAGCTCCCCACATGGACTCATCGAGCCATTCACAATTTGGTCTCACCTTTCATTTGTCCTTACTACTTCTCTCGACAGATTCTATGCAAAAGGCACAGCAAACTAGACTTTCTCTTACACACTGGTTCTTTTGGAGTTTGTGCTTCTATATTCCACTCAGTGCTTTTTCCCGACCCTGCTGACCTATGAAGAACCAGATGACACATTATCTCTTCTATGGATGTTACATATTATAGGAGGCATAATGGTTATGGCCTTGGGCTCCTAATTGCAAGGCCAGCAGTTTGAAACCACCAGCTGTTCTATGGGAGAAAGATGAGGCTTTCTACTTCCATAACGAGTTAGTCTTGGAAGCTCTACTCTGGTTCCAAAGGGTCATCATGAGTTGGAATCAATAATACCAGTGGATTTTTTTCCTTTTCTCAAATAAATGTCGAGTCCTGCTGGCATAGTGTGCTATACTTTGGGCTGCTAATGCAAGGTCAGCAGTTTGAACCCACTAGCCACTGTGGGAAGAAAGATGAGGCTTTCTGCTCCTGTAAGATATATAGCCTCAGAACATGCACAGAGACATTCCTACTCTGTCCTATAGAGTCATTATGAGTCAATATCAACTCAATAGCAATGAGTCTTTGTTCTCTAGGAACGTAAAAGGAGATAGCTGTCTAACAGGATTCTTAACCCTGCACTGTAATGACTTGTTCATATGTCTATATCATCAGGGTCTAACATGCCCTATGAAGGCACATCCAAACCTAAAACTAATCCCACTGCCAGAGCTGATTCCAATTTATAGCCCCCTATAGGGTTTCTGTAAATCCCTTTGAAAGCAGACTGCCTCATCCTTTTCCTGCAGAGCAGCTGGTGGAGCTGCTCCTTTCAATAAGTAGTCCAAAGCATATCCTACATTACCACCAGGGCTCCAAGCAGACACTTACAGCGGATTTGTAAGACCTTCAACTATGACCATATTATTCTTCTGAAGAGGAAGTACGTACCATGGTTTAGAGAACAGAGTCTGAAGCTAGACTAAGTATGTTTGCTTGCTCCCAACGCTTCTAAGCCATGTGGCACTGAACAAGCTAATTCACCTCTGTGCCTCAGTGTTCCATGTGTAAAAAGCATTGCACAATTACTACCTTGTAAGATAAGACTTAAATGAACTAATATGGGCCAAGTGCTGAGAAGAGTGACTGTCACAAAATAAGCATCACATTGTGCATTAATTAACTATTTTAATATGCCTTTTCCACATGCTAATTCTCTATCTGGAATGGGCTACCTTCATTTTTCCACCAATCCAAATCTTACTTGGGTGTCAAAGCTTACCCGATAAACTTTTTAATCATTCCAATCTATAAATAAATTATTGATCTCTAATTTAAAATTCTATAGCACTTTTCTGCATCACTCTGGAAAAAAAAAACCAACCCAAACCAAATTCACTGCCATCGTCGAGTGGATTCTAACTCATAGGGATCCTATAGCACAGGGTAGAACTGCCCCAATGAGTTTCAGAGACTCTTCACTCTTTACAGGAGTAGAAAGCCTTATCTTTTTCCTGTGGCACCACTGGTGGTTAGCCACCCAATGTGTAACTCGCTATACCACCACTCCTCGCACCCCAGGAGTGGAGTGCATCCTTTGGAGTTGGGGTGCCTATACTGAGAAACAACTAGATCTAGATCAGTGATTCCCAACCTTGCTAATGCCACAGCCCTTTAATCCAGTTCCTCATGTGTGGTAACCCCCAACCATAAAATTATTTTTGTTGCTCCTTCATAACTGTAATTTTGCCACTGTTGTGAATCGGGCAACCCCTATGAAAGGGTCATTTGACCCTCAAAGGGGTTGCGATCCACAAGTTGAGAACTGCTGATCTAGAGGAAGATTAATGCCAAGACACATGGAGATCTCAAAGGAACGCTGGGCCTACAGATGTTGAAAGGAGACAAGTATTGCTCGCTCCCCGGTGCCAACCAAGGAAGCCTTCCCCTAGAGCTGGCGCTCTGACTTCTGAAGTTTAGCCCCCTGAACTGTGAGAGAATAATTTTCTGTTAAAGCCAAACAAATATACGGTAATTAAATAGCTTTGTCCTTTCTCACGTAAATGTTTGTCAACCCCATTTCTCTACTCGCTGAGGGTTCTGATGACATTTCATGCATCTTTGTAAGTTCCTACAGCCAGTGGTTATGTGCTTGGTATTTGCCATGTAAAATAATGAAAATGTAGAAACCTCAATTCTGATCATCCTGCCTTTGCATTCAAAGAAATGGAGATGCTTCTCTAGGCACCAAGCTGCAAAAATCTTATGTTAGGGAATTCTCTCATTACAGTGAGGAACACTTAGTATGTTGGGCTGCTAACCACATGATGAATGGTTTGAAACCACCCGGTGCTCCGTGGGAGAAAGATGAAGCTTTCTGCTCCCTTAAATATTTACAGTCTTGGAACTACACAAGGCAGTTTCCCTGCCCTAGAAGACAGCGATGAGTTGGAACTGACTCAATGGCAATGAGTTGTTGTTTTCTTACAGTTCCAAAGCAAACTGTAGCAGTGGATTATCTATGAAAAAGGTGTCCAGGTGCAACAGAAAGTGGGTGAAGGGAGATGTCGGACAGTGTAAGATATGACAGAATAATAATAATTTATAAATTATCAAGGGTTCATGAGGGAGAACGGAGTGGGGAGTGAGGGGGAAAATGAGGAGCTGATATTAAGGGCTCAAGAAGAAAGCAAATGTTTTGAGAAAGATGATGGTAACAAATGTACAAATACGCTTGACACAATGAATGGATGTTTGGATTGTAATAAGAGTTGTAAAAAACCCCAATAAAATGATTTAAAAAGAAAAAGGTGTCCACTTGACAAAATAATTATTTTGTCACACAGATCTAGATTTCACAGGGACCCCAAGTCTCAGTTTCTGATTCTATAAATTGGACATGGTAGCCTCTATTACACAGGTACATGCCCATCAAAGTTCACTCCAACTGAAGTGCAAATTTCCTTGGAAAGATTTAGATAGACTGTAAACACTGCAATTTATAAATAAGACCACAGCACACTGTGAATGCTGTACGATCATAGCTGACAGTATTTATAATGAGCTTACCAATTTTCTTACTGATACATACACTTTTCTTAGTGATAAGAAATTGAAAGGAAGACTTCAGATGAGGGGAAAATGTTACTGCAGGGTTTGGGTATTTTCTCTTTCCTATTCAAATTTCCTCCAAAGAAATGCATTTTAAAAAGCTCAAAGTTTTAACTCAACATCAAGTTGGTCCTCCATCTCTAAAACTCTACAATAATTCAAATATGCCTTCAAGAAATTAACATGCATTCACAAAATTAAGAATTAGTAACCCCAACAGCTGCGCTAATGATCCGAGTACCTTCAAAGGAATAGCTGACCTAACTTGCAATTGGCAGTCACATCCAGTCTGCAGGGTTTCTGTGCAGCCCTGACAAGAACAAAGTCTCAGGCTTTTGGAGGGCTCATCTAGGGAGCTTAGGAAGTATTTTACAGCAAGCAATGCGATTGTTGAAACGCTCAACGCTACACAAAATCAACCCAAATTAGGCTCCTCCTTCTTGAGGGGGAAAAAAAGACAAGAATCAGTTACACGTGTGTAACTTTTTCACCTGGGTTATTTTCCAGCTTGGTGGAAGATAAATGCCCTCCATTCGCTGAAAGAAGGCCTTGCTGCTTGGAAGAACCTTTAAACTTAGGGGCGGGTGGTGGCGAGAGGGAGTGAGAGATTGATTTTGATTTTAAAGACAGGCGGATTTGTAGCTTTGGGTCACAGCCGTGTGGGACTAGTTAGGAATGACCGTGACATTGGGGGAAAGAAACGTCGGTTAATAATGGTCATAAACACTGTAAACTTACAACCACGTTGAAATGCCACATTATAAGGCTGAAAAGATGGTTTGGGGACGGGAGGAGCCCACGGCAGTGAGCTTGTGTTGAGCTTGTCCCTAACCTCGGGTGGAAACTGAAGAATCCTGCGCGGCGCTCGAAAATTAAAGAGGTGGGGGGGCCGAGGGATACAGGGGGGCCTTGGTAATCTAGTGGGTGTTCTGGGTGGGGGGCTGAAAAGACGGGTGTGGGTGCGTGCGCGTGCCCAAAGGTATGTACTCCGGGTGGAGAAACGGCGGTGACAAAGTTGGGGGAAGTAGGATTCCGAGGTCTGAGAGCAGGGAGGGGAAGGAATGCGGGGGTTTCCAGGTTGAGGCCGGCAGTCTGGGCGCCCCTTTCTCGGGGAGCGTGGCGCGCTCGCCCGTCCTCCCGGACGAGCCGGGATCCTCCCGCTACGCGGCTCCTCACCCGCCCCGGGCCCTCCTCACCTCAGGCCGCGGCGCCTCGGTCCTCCGCTCCGCCACGGCGCACGTCCCTCCCAGCACCAGGCCGCGCTGGAACCGTCGGCCTGGCGGCACGGCGGCCCGACCCCGCAGCGCCCGGGAGCTTCGGCCGCGACTCTGAGCGCCTCACCCGCTCCCGCTCACACCGAACCCCTTCCCGAGGACGCCCGACACGGGGCGCCTCTCGCCGCCCGGCCAGGGGCCCTTCTAGTCCCTCCCCGCCGCGCCCGCCCCCGGGTGCGGGGCCTGCGCGCTGATTGGCCCTTGCGGGACTCAACGCAGGCCACCATTGGTCCAGCGGCTACTCGACTAGGAGTGGGCGGGGCGCCAAGGGGCTGCGATTCCCGTAACGCAGCTCCCGGCGTCCGGGATTCCGGTGGTTGTGCTGTGTCGCCGCTCCCAGACGATAGCGAAGGGTTCCCCCACCTCCCCTCTGCTGGCGGGGGGACCGGAGTGTTTCACTTTTCGTGGAATCAAGGGACCGTGAGCGGAGGACTGGGTGCTGCCTGCCTATTCCGCCCTCCTCGCTCTCCGCGGCCGCGTGCCAAGTTCCTCGGCCTTTCCAGAGGCACCAGGATTGCTGCTAGGAAACACCGGGCCGCCGCCCGTCCCCTCTGGGGACCTGAGAGGCGTGGGAGCGCCTTGGGGAAAGTAGAGGACTTGGTGACCATGACCCCACATGAGTCTGCCCCAGATGATGACAGCGGCAGAGACTTGGTCCAAGTCTCCTGTACATGAATGTTTTTTTGTGTGTGTACACACACACACACACACACACACACACACACACACATGCATATTGAAATTGAGAGTGATTAAATTAGTGAAATCCAGAGCTGTTGATCCACCAAGCAACGAGATTTTCTTTGCACTGTATGCCTCTCAAACCTGTGATAAAGATAGAGTGAAAAATACTTCTATTGCAATTCAGCAATCCCCACTCCAAAACCTGTGAAATAAACCTGACTCACTTTGGTGTATATACCTGTATTCACTGTCATGGCAACCCTGCAGGACAGAGTTGTCAGCTGCCTTCCAGAGCATTTAACTCACAGCCAAACGCTGTCAGATCCTGCACCATCCTCACTATTGTTCTTGTGTTTGAACCCATGATTGCAGCCAGAGTAGAGCGGTGTTTTTGGCTTTCCCAGGCTGTACTTCTAGGAAAGAGCAGATTGTCTGAGGAGCTGATTGCCTCATCTGATGGAGCTGATGACCTTGGGGTTAGCAGCCCAACACAGTAACCCACAAGGTCATCGGGCTACACACACACACACACACACACACACACACAACACTATACTCACACATTTTTTCCTAAAAAATGACAAATGTTTAAAAAGGCCTATTTCCTCTGTGTGTGTGTGTGTGTGTGTGTGTGTGTGAAAGAAACACCCCAAAATAAGGTCTTTTGGAGAAAAGTTGCCGGCAATAATGATGTAATGAACTTGAAAAAAATTATGCCCATCAATGAACAGACAATTATAAGCTTCCTCATTACTGAGGATTCAGATAGATTGAAACAGATCAATTATTTTCTCTTGTTCGTCAATCAGATGATGTTAAGGACACAGTGTAATGGGGCTACTATGTGTCCAGAGAGCCCTGGTGGTATAATGGGTTACACATCGGGTTGCTAACCCCAAGATCTGCAGTTTGAAACTACCAGCAGCTCTGTGGGAGAAACATGGTGCTTTCTACTCTTGTAAAGAGTTACAGTCTTGGAAACAAACCCACAGGAGCAGTTCTGCTCGGCCCGTTAGAGTTGCGGTGAGTTGGAAACCACTTGATGGCAGTGAGTGAACAGGTGGCATGTCCGTTCAGAAAGGAGTCTTGGTGGTATGAAAAATGGTTTAAGAGTTAGGTTGCTCACAGCATGGTCAGCAGTTCAAACTCACTGATCCACGTGAGAAAAATGAGGGTATCACCGGCTGTAATGATGTACAGCCTCAGCACCACTAGGGAGAAGTTCTCCTCTGTCTGACAGGGTCACAGCTTCTAAACTGAGACAGTCTAGGAGGAAGGAAGCTGCCGTCCATTTCTTTAAAAAAAAAAGAAAAAAGCCATTGAAAATAAGGGAATACTCTACTAAATCAATCTGTATGCGGAGCAGATAATCCAAGAAGCTGGATTTATGAAGAAGAAGAAGAAGAAGAAGAAGAAGAAGAAGAAGAAGAAGAAGAAGAAGAAGAAGAAGAAGAAGAAGAAGAAG